GAAGCGGGCACTTTGTCGGCGCGGTCAATGAAGTGTGGCGGCGGCTGTGGTGGTCGGAGAGAGGCGGTGGATAGCGGCGAGTGGAGCGTTTGGGTCGTGTATTCCGTGTTGGTGTGTGTTGGTGTGTGGGGCTTGTTGTAGTGTGTTTTTGTAGGTTGCGTGTTCGTGCAAGCGCCGTTGGTTTAGTGGTAAAATATCTCGTTGCCAACGAGATGCCCGGGTTCGATTCCCGGACGGCGCATTCTCTTTGCCGCATCGCCTTTTTCGACCACTCGCGACTGCTGCACGCGCTCTGGCGGGTCGATGGCATCAGGCCGCCCGCGCTGGCGCTGGATCGGCGTCCGGGGACGTCCTGCAGGCCACCAGTCGCCGGCACGGCCGACAGACCGACTACCGAAGCGGGCACTTTGTCGGCGCGGTCAATGAAGTGTGGCGGCGGCTGTGGTGGTCGGAGAGAGGCGGTGGATAGCGGCGAGTGGAGCGTTTGGGTCGTGTATTCCGTGTTGGTGTGTGTTGGTGTGTGGGGCTTGTTGTAGTGTGTTTTTGTAGGTTGCGTGTTCGTGCAAGCGCCGTTGGTTTAGTGGTAAAATATCTCGTTGCCAACGAGATGCCCGGGTTCGATTCCCGGACGGCGCATTCTCTTTGCCGCATCGCCTTTTTCGACCACTCGCGACTGCTGCACGCGCTCTGGCGGGTCGATGGCATCAGGCCGCCCGCGCTGGCGCTGGATCGGCGTCCGGGGACGTCCTGCAGGCCACCAGTCGCCGGCACGGCCGACAGACCGACTACCGAAGCGAGCACTTTGTCGGCGCGGTCAATGAAGTGTGGCGGCGGCTGTTGTGGTCGGAGAGAGGCGGTGGATAGCGGCGAGTGGAGCGTTTGAGTCGTGTATTCCGTGTTGGTGTGTGTTGGTGTGTGGGGCTTGTTGTAGTGTGTTTTTGTAGGTTGCGTGTTCGTGCAAGCGCCGTTGGTTTAGTGGTAAAATATCTCGTTGCCAACGAGATGCCCCGGGTTCGATTCCCGGACGGCGCATTCTCTTTGCCGCATCGCCTTTTTCGACCACTCGCGACTGCTGCACGCGCTCTGGCGGGTCGATGGCATCAGGCCGCCCGCGCTGGCGCTGGATCGGCGTCCGGGGACGTCCTGCAGGCCACCAGTCGCCGGCACGGCCGACAGACCGACTACCGAAGCGGGCACTTTGTCGGCGCGGTCAATGAAGTGTGGCGGCGGCTGTTGTGGTCGGAGAGAGGCGGTGGATAGCGGCGAGTGGAGCGTTTGGGTCGTGTATTCCGTGTTGGTGTGTGTTGGTGTGTGGGGCTTGTTGTAGTGTGTTTTTGTAGGTTGCGTGTTCGTGCAAGCGCCGTTGGTTTAGTGGTAAAATATCTCGTTGCCAACGAGATGCCCCGGGTTCGATTCCCGGACGGCGCATTCTCTTTGCCGCATCGCCTTTTTCGACCACTCGCGACTGCTGCACGCGCTCTGGCGGGTCGATGGCATCAGGCCGCCCGCGCTGGCGCTGGATCGGCGTCCGGGGACGTCCTGCAGGCCACCAGTCGCCGGCACGGCCGACAGACCGACTACCGAAGCGGGCACTTTGTCGGCGCGGTCAATGAAGTGTGGCGGCGGCTGTTGTGGTCGGAGAGAGGCGGTGGATAGCGGTGAGTGGAGCGTTTGGGTCGTGTATTCCGTGTTGGTGTGTGTTGGTGTGTGGGGCTTGTTGTAGTGTGTTTTTGTAGGTTGCGTGTTCGTGCAAGCGCCGTTGGTTTAGTGGTAAAATATCTCGTTGCCAACGAGATGCCCGGGTTCGATTCCCGGACGGCGCATTCTCTTTGCCGCATCGCCTTTTTCGACCACTCGCGACTGCTGCACGCGCTCTGGCGGGTCGATGGCATCAGGCCGCCCGCGCTGGCGCTGGATCGGCGTCCGGGGACGTCCTGCAGGCCACCAGTCGCCGGCACGGCCGACAGACCGACTACCGAAGCGGGCACTTTGTCGGCGCGGTCAATGAAGTGTGGCGGCGGCTGTTGTGGTCGGAGAGAGGCGGTGGATAGCGGCGAGTGGAGCGTTTGGGTCGTGTATTCCGTGTTGGTGTGTGTTGGTGTGTGGGGCTTGTTGTAGTGTGTTTTTGTAGGTTGCGTGTTTG